ACCTCTCAGGGATGACCGGGTTGAAATCGAGGCGGGGTAGAGCGTGCTTCACATCAAGAGTTTGGCACAGTTTCTGAACAAGTGCGACAATAAGGAGTATTCATAATTTCCCCTAATCTATAAACGTTCGGTGTTTTTCACACACCTTAAAACGGTCACCTCTCGCCAATTGTCGCGCGCCACGAAATGATCCTACTACATTGATGAGGAAGAGCAGCTGCTCAGCTCCATTGGCCACCTTAGCCTCCCCCGATGCAGCATAAGCAGCCTCTTCATTACTCTGATAATGAGCAGCACTCGTACTCATCGCCGGGCCAATACCACGCCCCATCATACACACACCTGATAACACCGTCACGCGCCACAAAATTACCCCACAACCTACGAAGGGCCACTAGCAGCGTTGACACAGTCTTTGCCAAGTTATGTGGAATTGCCATTTCCGGCGGTTCCGTCGAGTTCGACTCTGTCACCGGATGGTCCCCCTGACAATAACAGATATACGCCAAGATGAACAGACCCCCCATACGCTGGTCCTTCGCTCAGCCCTCACCAATCCATTCGCCTCTTCAACTACCTCATCTCGTAGAGCGATCCACCCCTCGTCTAAACAACAACCAACCCCGGTTCGATCCCTGCACCCTGCATTTTTCCTACCAGAATCACAATACTTAGTGTACTTCGCCAATGTCCTTTTGATGATGTCACCAACATCGCGACCAATACAAACCGGACCCAGCTTCTCAGCTAGAGCCTCCACAATCTCCCTCCCCTTCACCCATGGTCTCCCATCACTCGCCCGAACATGATCATTATGAGTAGCCAGATACCGCAACACGATAGGCTTAGCCTCCGCCTGACCATCACAACAACAATAACAGCATATCTTTCAAATCTTCGCTGTGCGCAACCTCACCATAACTATATAATCATCATCCCGACAAATATTCAACATCACCGTTTTAAGATGTGCGAGCATACCAGGGTAACTAAAGGAAAAAATTACCCACACGAAAACGTTACTCTATGAAGTTGACTATAAACCACCAAACCTCCTCTTGCTATGCGTTCCCCATTCGCGGAGGTTCGAATCCCAGACCCGGTATTTTTTTAGCAAATAATTTTTCCCATCACTCCTCACCTTGAAATTTGTGGTAACGTCAGCAGCATCCACAACCCGCCAGTATTCAAGACCTCCACAGCACACTCGTAGTATCTAGTGGTCTCCGACAGGCACATGAGAAGGGCCTGGCTCTGCATAGGGTCCATCAAAGGGGTCTTCTCCATCACTCTAACCAAAGCCTTAGTCAACGATAGCATCGTGTCCCGACCATTGGGCATGCCAAGTAGACAACCTAATAG